ATTTTTATGTTATTGGCCAAGTTGATATACTCTTTTTCCATTCTAAAATTGGATTATTTGTCTTTTTATTGTTGAGTTGGAGGATTATATGTGTGTATGTGTATTTATGTATTCTGAATACTAGATCTTTATCAGATAGATGTTTTGTAAATACTTTATCCCTTTCTATGGGTGTGTTTTAGTTTTCTTGATAGTATTATCTGGAGCACAAAAGTTTTTAATTTTGAGGTCCACTTTAACTATTTTTTCTTTGCTTGATTGTGCTTTTGGTGTCATATGTAGGAAACCATTGCCTAATTCAAGGTCACAAGGCCTTACCCTTGTTTTTTTCTAAGAGTTTTACAGTTTCAGCTCTCACATTAAGTCTGTTCCATTTTGAGTTAATTTTGTATATGGTGGGTGTCTTAATTATCTAGCACTACTATAACAGAAATAACCACAAATGGTTAGCTTTAACAAACACATTTATTTTCTCACAGGCAGCTAGAAGTCCAAATTCAGAGTGCCACCTCTAAGGGCTGGTTCTCCCTCTTTTGGCTGTGGATGAAGGTTCTTAACTCTTCAATTTCTGTTGCTCGGCATTAGGGTTAAGGTAAAGAAAGACTGAAAATGGTCAGAATAGAACTGCTCAAGCAGTTAGACTCTTTTGGCCTGAAATTCATGTAGAGTACCTTTTAGACAGCTTTTGAAATTTTCCTAATGTACTAGGTTTTCCCTTAGCCTATATTATGTTATTTGACTTTGGAAGCATCAACTATGTATTTTGTGCAGTTGTACTTGGAGATAAGGACAGTTTCTATTTTGGCCACCCCAGACTGGATTGTCATCTTATGGGGTTACTACCTTCCATTCAGCTTTTTCCTTCTCTCAGTGGTTTTCATTGAACCAAAAAAACACGAACCCATTGCCATAGTGACCCTGTAGGACAGAGTTGAACTGCCCTGTAGGGTTTCCAAGGCTGTAAATCTTTACATAACAGACTGCTACATCTTTCTCCTGCAGAGAGGCTCCTGTGTTCAAACTGCCAGCCTTTTGTTTAGCAGCCAGATGCCTTAACCACTGCAACACCAAGAGCTCCTCAGTTCATTGAACCTGACTTACTGTATTCCTTCAGAGTTCCTGTAACCTCTAGGATTTCTTTTCTTGAAGCGATCAAAACCATTCTTGTCATGGTCACTGATAACTTCCCTGTTATAAATCTAGGCTTCAGTTCTCAGTACACATGTTACTTGGCACAGCAGTTCATTTAACTCAGTAGATTAATCTCTCTTCATTGACATATTTTCTCCACTTGGCTTTTCCAACACCACACTTTTTTGGTTTTTCTCCTACATCATAGTTAGTGCTTCAGTAGTCTTGTCAGTTTCCTCTTCCAGTTCTGCTTTAGTTCAACTTCATGAACTGCTTTTGCCACTTTTTTTTTTTTTAATTTTATTTTGATTTGGGTGAAGATTTACAGAGTAAATTCACTTTTCATACAGCAGTTCACATATACTTTGTCTCATGTCATTGACCAAAATTTACAATGCAACAACTCCCCTCCCACTTCCTCCCCATAGTTACCTCTTCCCAGTGTCCATCCCTCCATACTCTTCTGCGCCCTGAGCTGTCTCCCTGTGCATAAGCAGCCCTTCCTTCTCCCATGATTGTTCTCTCCAGGGTGTGTGTCTACTTGAGGTAAATGTTTAACTCACTTTTTTGCCACTTCTTGATGCATGCACTGACACATTTAGTGATTCATTTAGTCTCATGGCTTTAAGTATTATCTGTATGCAAATAATCACAAATTTTTATCTCCATCCCTGAACTTGCTCTTGAACTCTAGATTTTTATATATCCAGCTGACTCTTTTTATATCCGCTGGGGCATCTGTCTTAGTTACCTAGTCCTACTATAACACAAATACCACAGGTAGTTGACTTTAAGATCAGAAATTTATCTTCTCAAAGTTTTGGAGGCTAAAAGCCTGACTCACGGTCTTGGTCATGTTGATTTCTTCCTTTGTGGTAGCTCCAGGTGTTCCTTGGTTTCTTGGTGATCTTCATGTAGCGTCTGTCTTCCAAGTGTATATTTATAATTATATTTCTATTTCTATGCTGCTCTTTAAGGAGCCTTGGCGTCTCAGTGGTTAAGTGCTTGGCTGCTAACTGAAAGGTCAGTGGTTGAAACCCATCAGCCACTGTAGGAGAAAGATGTGACAGTCAGCTTTTATAAAGATTACAGCCTTGTAAATCCCATGGGATAGTTCTACTCTGTCTGTAGGGTTGCTGTGAGTTGGAATCGACTTGATAACACACAACATGTTACCTTTTATATCATTCAGAAGTGACTAGGCTTAAGGTCCACCTACATTGGCATGATGATTAAGGAGCCCTGGTAGCGCAGTAGTTAAGTGTTCGGCTACTACTTGAAAGGTCATAGGTTTGAATCCACTAGTTGTTCTGCAGGAGAAAGATGTGTTGGTCTGCTCCCATAAAGAAACCCTGTGGGGCAGTTCTGCTCTGTCCTTTGGGTTACTGTGAGTTGCAACAACTACACCTAACAATGGAAGGTCATTACATTACATTCACAGTTGAAGGGATTAGTATTCCAGCACATATTTTAGGGGACACAATTCATTCCATTAGACTGTTAAACTTTGCAAATTTAACAAGCACAAACTGAACTGTTTATCTTTCTCTACCCCCTCATCTCTGCTCAGCGTTTAATATTTTTCACCTTTATTGAAGAGAACTTCATCTTTATGTTGATTCAGGCCAAAAACCTTTGAGTCGTCTGTGACTGTCTTTTCTCTTCCTCTGTTGACTCTAACCTTGAGAATATGGCCAGAATCCAACCATTTCTCACCACATTCACAGCCACTACCCTGGGCTGATCCACTATCATCTCATCTGGATTGCTGCCACAGCCTCCTAACTTATCTTCTTGCTTCTGTCCTTATATTCCGATCATCAATGAGAGTGCCCATATTAAAACGTAACATCAGTTCATGTCTCCTTTCTGCTCAGAGCATTGTAGAGCATTACATTTCATTCAGAGTAAAAGCCAAAATTCCTGCAATGCTTAAAAGGCTATCCAACACTGGGACCCCCCATTATCTCTTGGGCCTCCTTTCCTGTTTTGTTTGCCAGAAATCCACTCTGATCGTTTTGGCCTCTTCATTATTACTTGAATATTCTAGTTATATTTCTGCAATAAGACTGTTGTCCCTTCTTCTTCATATGCTTTTCTGGGTGATTCTGATGGAAATTAAGAACTACTATGTAATATTGGATAGGATTTCAGAAACCAGGCCTGTTGCTTACAGGTGGGGGATATGTAGATATGAGGTAGTTGACAAACATCATGGCTGGATTTGTTTTCTCTGTATCTTTTCCCCCCCTCCCTTTTCCTGGTGGGGGAACAAGGTTGGTAGAGGGAGGTGGCATTGTTAACTGCTATTCGGTCAGCTCCCAACTTACAGTGACTCTGTGTATGATGGAATGAAATGCTACCCGGTCTTGTGCCATCTGCATGATCATTTGTGGATTGTGGATCAGAAAATTGTGATCCGTAGGGTTTTTACTGGCTGAGTTTTGGAACTTGATTTCTAGGTTTTTCTTCCTAGTCTGCTTTGGTCTAGATGCTACACTGAAAACTGTTCAGCATCCTAGCAACACACAAGCCTCCACTGACAGACAGGTGGGGGCTCTGCATGGGGTACATTGGCTGGAGTCTCCCTCATGGAAGGCAAGCTTTCTGTCACTGAACCACCACTGGGCACAGGGAAGGAGGTTCATATAAACTGATGTAAACTCTAGTAACTTAGATTGTAGTCCCCAAGAGCACCTCAAGTTTAAGTGATTTGCTAAGAAGACTCACAGGATTCAGCATATATAGTCATACTTAGTGTGTTGTTGTTGTTGTTTGCCATCGAGTTGGACCCGACTCCCAGCGACCCCTCCTTTGGTTTCGAAGCAGTATCACTACGGAAGTAGATTGCCCCATCTTCCTTCCGAGGAGTGGCTGGTGGGTTTGAACCGCCAGCCTTCTGGTTAGCAGTCAAGTGCCTTAGGCACTATGCTACCAGAGTTCCTCATACTTAGTATAGTCATACTCAAAGCACAATTGACACAGGGAAGACAGAAAGATGCGTGGGGTAAAGTCCAGAGGAGACATGAAGTACAAGTTTCCAAGTCTTTTCTCCGTGGAGTCATACAGGATGCGCTTAATTCCTCCAGTATCAAATTGTGACAACAAACATGAAGTGTTGTCTATCAGAGAAGCTCATTAGAGATACAGTGCCCAAGGTTTTTATTGGGGCCTGGTCATGTGGACACCCTCAGCCTAGCATATACCAGAATTACAGATTCCCATGAAGAAAGTATGTGTTCAAGTATAAGCCATATTATATACACAATCTAGGTACAGTGAACCACCCTTACAGTTAGGGTGGTGAGAGCGCTCCCAAAATCCAAGTTCCTAGGTGCCAGAGAAGGATAAATCTTATAACCATCTCTCTTTAAGGATAGCAGTCACTTGCTATGCTAGCTCTTTTCTGCACATCATGGTATCCAAAGAGGTTTTAGGTTTTGCTTTTTCTTCTATTTCTTTTTTATATGAAATACAAAGCATTAAGACTAAATCATCTCTTGTAGAAATTTAGTAACAACCCAAAATGTTTTGGGAATGCCTTGAACAGCTTACTTTAACTGGGTTGAATAAGTGAATTTATTCAGTTAGAAGTTGTCTGAAAAATTCTTGGCAGTATTATTCACAGCCTGTGCTGATTTTAATAGTTATAACAACCATTTACTTCCTAGTAAGATTTTCTTATTTCTAAAAGTAAAAAAATAAGATATCTTTTTCAGTACTCATTTGAAAAACATTATCTATGAGTATGACCATCTGCTTCAAATCAGATACTGATTTTTTTTCCTCCAAATGTACCAAAGGGTACATTTAAAACTTGTCATCTTTGTGTTTGCTTTTGTGAGTAATTGATCTTTCTTTTTTTATAGGCCAAGATGCAGAATTATCAGGGACACTTTCACTTGTTTTGACACAGTGCTGTAAAAGAATAAAGGATACTGTTCAAAAATTGGCTTCGGACCACAAAGACATTCACAGCAGTGTTTCTCGGGTTGGAAAAGCCATTGATAAGGTATGTTATTGAAGGAAATGTTTTGTATTTTTTAAGCATCATCCTTCATCAGATGTCATTACTTTGGTAACATTAGCTTTTCCACATTATTTTATGATATTCCTTTCACCTTTGCTTTGGATAACTTTTTTCAGGTCTGGTTTTACTATTCTTACTAAAGTTCCTGTTGCTATTTAACAAACCAACAAAAATCTCTTTATAGCTTTGCTATTTATTCATCTTCTTATATAACTCAAGCTACTAGGGTCGTGATGAATAAATTCTCAAAGGAATTTAACCCCCTATGTGTGAGTTAGGAGCTCTGGTAGCATAGTGCCTAAGGCACTTGACTGCTCACCAGAAGGCTGGCGGTTCAAACCCACCAGCCACTCCTCGGAAGGAAGGTTGGGCAATCCTACTTCCGTAGTGATACTGCCTCGGAAACCCAAGGAGGGGTCGCTATGAGTCGGGGCCGACTCGACGGCAAACAACAACAAATGTGTGAGTTTACAGAAATAGCTTTTTATACTTCCTGAGTAATTCCCTGGCTGTGACTTTCTCTCTCATATGAGATGTTAGGATAACACCCCTGCATCTTTCTCCTCTGCATCATCCTAACCCTTGTTGTCTTCCTGTGGGCATTTTATTTTAGTTGCTTTTCTCCAGGGTTGTTTTCTGTGTGAGTAGATTGCTAGCCAACAAATGTAGTTATATTTGTTGAGTGATTTTTCTTGTGACATCTCTTGAATAAGCAGTCTGACTTAGTGGTTAATTTACAAGCAGTTATTATTTTTAGGACTGGCCAATTTTACCCTTAGAGTTCATGCTTCTGTAGGGCCTAAAGGAGGTAGCCCAAGATTACAGTGTGATACTTGTGACTACTTCAGCCGTTGTGGAGACTTGAATGGGCTATGGGCATTTCTGTTCACACATTATAAACTTCTAGGAGTGTAAGAGGAATGTTTGGGGAGAGCTCTTTGTAGCAGAATCATCTCCTAACCAGTCCTGTGAGTTGCTTGTTCTGTATGCACAAGAATGATGGCTGTAACTAGAGGATCATGGAATCCAGAGAGTGGCTCTTTATATCTCATCAGTAGGCCCAACTGTTAGATGTTACCCTATAGAGCAGTAGCATTGAGAGGCTTGAGGATTTCAGGCTGCCTAAGTCAAAACTAAGGAGCCCTGTGGCATAGTGGTTAAGAGCTTGGCTGCTAACTGAAAGGTTGGCATTCAAACCCACCAGCTACTCCTCAGGAGAAAGATGGTGGCAGGCTGATTATCAGCCTTGGAAATTCTGTGGGACAGTTCTACCCTGTCCTATAGGGTGCTATGAGTTGGATTCAACTTGATGGCGACAGGGTTTTTTGGTAAATCAGAAGTATGTGCTTCTAAGGAGATAGCATTCATTGGTAGGTGGTATATGATAGAACTGTGAGTAGCAGAGGCCCTGGGGACTATTTTGGTTGCTGTGGCTTACAGAAATGTTAGTAGACTTTCATAGAGTTCTTACCATACCCAGGGAACTCTGGTGGCTTAGTGCCTGAGGCATTTGACTGCTAACCAGAAGGCTGGCAGTTCAGACCTACCAGCCAATCCTTGGAAGGAAGATTGGGCAATCTACTTCTATAGAGATACCACCTCAGAAACCCAAGGGAGAGGTCTCTGTGAGGCAAATCGACTTGACAGCAGTGAGTTTGGTTTTGATTTACCACACGTATAGTGATAAGGGTGTTAATTTGGCAGAAGAGGCCAGGGAAACGGTGTTGGCCGCAGCAGGGTTCTAGCCACATAGTTGAATCAGTGATGACAGTTGCCAGTAAAGGCTGGGGAGGCAGTGAGTATTCTCTGAAGTCATGTTGAGATTGTGAAGACTTGTTCGGTAACTCCAGGATGGTGAACACAGCCTTGTAGGTGGTGTTGGTATCAGACCTTTTTAGGGCTATGGCATTGGGAGCCTTCAGTTGGTATCTGGAGTGGTTGTTGGTGTATACTAGCTTAAAGATTACAGGAATGGTGGTGTGGGGCACTTTAGTGGTGGTCTTAAATCATTTTTAGATGTAAGTGTTTTTTAGTGTGAAGTAACTATTGACAATGTTTAGGAAGCTTCAGATTTTGTTGGCTAACAGTGACCAAGACATCTTGGTGGTTCTGATGGTTCAAGGAGAACCCCAGGAGGTTTCTGAGGATATTTCCTTGACCACTAGGCTGCATGTAATTATAGAAGAACATCAGCATCTGGAGAGTGGGACCAGAAGGTATCATACAGTGAGAACTGTTGCTACCAAGGCAGCCAATGGAAGAAAGTACCTGGGAAGAGATTCTTAACTATCTTACTTCAAGTGTATTGACTAATGGCCACTCAAATCTAGCAGTTGGGCAAACAATTCACTAATTTTGTATTCTGCCACTGGAAGAGTGCCATATTTCCTAGCATTGTCTTATTGTTTTGTCATGATTATTATCAGAACCCTCTTTTGCTCTCAGAAGTATTCAGGATTATCCTCTTTAGCTATTGGTGACTTGTTGCACATGACTTCCTTCTGATCCAGTAGGTCTTTACAGATATTCATAAGGTTTATCAAATATTTTGGTTAATCTCTGAGGCCAACCATGTAGATATATTTGACGTCATAAGTGGAAGTATTTATTTGAGAGTGGATACCAGCGGAGCACATTTAAAGTGAATGATCCCCTACTTTCTATCTTTTTTGTTTTTGATTGGGGGTGTGTTTGAGAGTGAACATTCTAATTTACTCATTATTTTTTTGAGGACAACTTTTCGTGTACTGGGGAATTATATGGGCTTTTTCAAGTAATTTTCTTTCTAAATACTTCTTGCTGTTGTGAAAGTAGCTGCTAGATTACCTGGATTTTTCCCTTCTCTCCTGAATTCCGAATTCTTCTGATCCATAACGTGAAGCTACATAGTTTATTTGATAATGAAAAGTGTTTGTTGAATTGTGGTCCAGGGTCACAGAGGATAGCCTGGGTCATTTAATAACCCAGTTTTGTATGTCTTTCAGAGGAGCTCTGGTGGTGTAGCGTCTAAGGCATTTCACTGCTAACCAGTGTCAGTTCAAACCCAGTAACCACTCCGTGGAAGGAAGATGGGGCATTCTACTTCTGTAAAGATTTACTGCCCTGGCAACCCAATGGGGATTGCTGTGACTTGTAATCAGCTTGATGGCAGTGGATTTGGTTTAGTTTGGTTTATGACTTTCATTGTACTTTCCCCCAAAGTAAGACACACATTTTTTGGTGACTGATTTATTTGCCTCAGCTGTAAATAAAGCTGTTTACTCACCAGAGCTACCTAGACATTGTGAATGGGTTTTTCACGTGAGGAATTCTTGTAGACTATGGTCATAAAAGATTCCATTGACTTGAGAATTCATCTCTTTTAGTTTGAACCTGGTAAATTTGTATAAGCTTCTGGTGCAGCCTGCTGTAAATACTGGGCCATGCTCATAGAAATTGGTGATGAACAAATAGGATGAAGCTGAAGTCATTGTGGCACAGGGCTTTTAAATACCACAACAAACAGAATTAAGTAATAAACTGGAATGCCATCTAGCAGCTTCTGAGCATCATATTATAGACACATGGTCCCACCCACACGAGAGGGAAACAAAGAAAACAGGTGGCTCCTTTGTGAGCAAGCTGGTTTTGGGTGAGGAACTTAAATAAATTTTTGATATGTTAAGTTGTGACTTTTTTCCCCTTTAATAGTTCAATGCTTCTTGTAGTTTAAAATTCTCTTTCCATTGCTTCTCTGAGAATTTAAGTAGAAAAGAAGTTTGTGTTGTTAGCTGAGGCGTTTTCTGCCTTTTAAGTATTATAAAAGGGACTTAAAAAGTTGTTGATTTCTGCTTTAATACATTGACTATTTTCAAATGCTCACTGTAAGATCACTGTTGAAAATAATGTCAGCCCTTAGGTTCCTCAACAAATATATTTTTAGTAAACATAAATACTGGGTTATTTTAAATTTCCTTTTTTTTTTTTTTTAAGAAAATCTAGAATTCTGTCTTGTTTAGGGCATTTTATTCGATGACTTGTGTGTTTACTACCTAAGTAAGAAAAGTCAATAGAAATGATTATTGCTTGAAAATTCTCTCTCTCTCTGTGTGTGTGTGTGTGTGTGTGTGTGTGTAAGAGAGAGAGAGAGACAATAAATACCTGAAATCTGCTGTGGGATAGATAAAAGCTAAAAACAGTACATTATCTTTAGAAAATTACACTTTGATCATCTAAGAATGCTTTTTGTACATGTCAAATAGCTGGGAAAATTCTAAGGCAGTATATAAGTTTATATGGGATGGACACTGCTTATTCCAAAGTAAAATTAAAGGCAGACCCACTGCCATCGAGTCATTCTAAGACCCTATAGGACAGAGTAGAACTACCCCATAGGGTTTCCAAGGTTGTAAATCTTTATGGAAACAGAGTGGCTTATCTTTTTCCTGTGGAGCAGCTGGTGGATTTGAACTGCTGACTTATCGGACAGAGTAGAACTGCCCCATGGGATTTCCAAGACTGCAAATCTTAAGTGCTATCAGCTAATCTAGGTTTATGCGGTACAGTGTAGTAAATTACCTGGTGTGGCTTTTCTAGCCATAAGTCTTTGTAAACTCCGTGGTGGAATTTGCTGTGAGAAACTGAGTAGCTCCTGATTTTTAAAATTATCCACCTGGTGTATTTCTGTTGGGAACAGCACAAAGTAATTTTCTGGGAAGTTCACTCTCAGTTATATAGAATTCTGATGTTGGGATTGGTTGGTTCAGCCTCAAAAGGAGCCCTCCTAGAGGCAGAAGGAGCCTCTCTGACCGCTGGCTGAGAAAGACACGCTGCTGAGAGAAACGCGTGGATGCGAGACACCGAGAGACACACATTGCTGAGAGAGAGATGCTGAGAGACATGCACTGCTGGGAGAGAGACTGAGAGAGACTGTTGGCTGAGAGAGACTGTGCATTTCTCCTGAACTTGAATTGTAGTCTGGGGCTTCCCTAATAAATGCCATA